TCATCATAAAATAATCTTTTAAACATTTTGACGTTTTGCTTTTGGATCACACCCGGCTGTGCTCAGTGATTATTTCTGGCTCTGCACTCAAGGATCACTCCTGGCAGACTCAGGGGGCCTTATGGGGTGCCACGGATCAAACCCATTACTCACTAGACTATTTCTCTAGCCCCCTTTTTACATTTTGGTCAGCTAAATTTATAGCAGTTTGAAGTCTTTGTTCCAGATATAATCTCAACAACACTACAGTACGTATTAAGTAAATATCCACTGTGTCAGATATTGTTCTAAGAACTTGCTATCATGCTTAAATAAATAGCAATAATGACAACCATGAACAGAAGTTATGAGCTATAACAATGAACTGAACTTTAAAAAGACATGGATTCTGGGGCTCAGAGAGGTAGCTTTGTATAGGAATTTGAAGCTTCTTTTTTTGGGGGGGGGTGAGTTTTGGCTCACTCCCAGTAATGCTCAGAGTTAACTCCTTGCTCCCCACTCAGGAAATACTCCTGAGTGATGCTCAGGGGATCCTATGGGATGCCGAGGTCTGAACCCATATCAGTCACATGCAAGGCAAATACCCTACCCTCTGTACTATCTCTCTGGCCCATGAAGCCTCCTTTCTAAATGCATTGTCTCATAGGGTCTGATTGTCTCATTTGTATTAGTCTAAATCTGTTTTTCAGGGACATGTCTAAAATGAAGTGATAGAGAGTGACACCTATAAGGTTAGGACTAGATGAATTGGAGAAACTGGGAAGATCAGATTAATATCTACATATATTCATTTTATTCATGCTCCAGGACTGTCACACAATTATTTCCTCTTTTACTTTTTTCTCTTCTGCAAGCTCATTCCGAGATTTCATCACCGCATTCTTCAGTGTCATCTCTCTGACTTTATCAATCACTCGGAAACCTCACATTGCTCGTCCTTCTGCTCTTCCTGATTTCTAGATGTGACTGATTCCATATATGCTGACATTCCAGTTATGACAATGAGCCAGCCCTCCCTGCTCAGCTACCACTGCCATTAGATCATTATCTCTTCTTTAATACTCGCTTTTGATTGTATTTGTTTATTTCCCACACATTGCCTGATGTGGTCATTTTTCATTCCTATTGTCTGGTTGTATGGGATCTCTTTTCATTTTTTTACATGAATTCGGGCCTTTTCTACTATATCATTTCATTGATATATTTTATCCTTAAAATTCCAGGTGATTAATTAAAAAGAAAGAAACATAACAACCTGTCACCAACTCCTGTTGAGTTCATTTGTCCCCCAAATTTTATTAGCTATATACTTATTCCCTCAGGACGACTCTAGGGCTATTTATTAACAAGGCATTTAACATTCAGCATTTAACACATATTTGTATCTAGTTAGACGTCTCCGAGCTAGAATAGAAGGCAAGGGAAAAAGACCCACTTGCACTGGACTCAAATGTCTACCAGCCAGGCACTTGACTGGCGCCCTCTTGTGGTAAGGAAATACGCACCCGAAAATGGCCTCAACACTGTCTGCACACCAGGGGATGGAGTACCTGCTGCCTCCTATTTTGTTAATTTTATACAATTATTTTTTCTTTTTTTTTGGGGGGGGGGAGTTTTGTTTTTGAAACAGAAGTTCTCAGAGCTCAGATCTCGGAGCTGCAATCCAGGATCACTCCAGGAGGGGCCCAAGGAAACCAGACTATGGTGCTAAGTATGGTACATTGGTGGGCCGCGTGCAAAGCAAAAGCATGACCTGCTATACTATTGCTCCAGCCCCTATCAATCTTGACCTTCCTTTCCCGTCTTTCCCCTGTATTTCCTTATGTCTTTTTATTGGAGAGGTGGTGAGGAGAGCCACACCAGGCAGTGCTCAGGGAACTTACTCCTGGCTAGAGGTTGATCCCAGCAGTCCTCATGACACTAGGGATCCAACTGGGACTAGGCTGGTGCAAGAGAAGCACCTCCACCCCTGTACTATCTCTCTGGTCCTATCTTACTTTTTTAACAATCCAGTGGTACAATATAAGAAACTAAAGGGTGATGATAATGTGGGTACAGTGACTTTTGATACAACAGCCTGATTTTGTCCCAAGAGAACTCCATGATCCCTGTAAGAGATCTGTGACAGGCCACTAGCCATTCTCATTATAAGACAGCAAAGCATAGGTCAGGACATAGCACAAAGGACTGGAGTGCATGCCCTGCAAGCCTGAGGCCTGAAGTTTGATCCGTAGTCCCAAATGGTCCCCAGAAGACACCTGACAGCTCCCCCAAACACTAAGCTAAAGAAGCACCTCACTGCTGGACCCCAGCACTGAACAGCCTGCCTGAATTACTGAGCCAGGGATACCCACAAGGGCACCCCAGAATACTGCAGGGGAACCACCAGCACAGCCCCCAAGAAAAAAAAACATTAATAATAAAAAATGAACATGAATGCATACTTTGGGATTTTTCCTCTTCTAAAAGAAAGCATTCATTTTAGATTATTATTGATAAGTGAGAGCTAAGATGAACTGTAAATTATTCCTTACTAGTCATTAACATGACCATTCAAATTCCTCTCTACTCATCAAAGTCTGATGCATGAATTCAAATAAATGTTTCTAAGGGCCAGAAAGATAGTTCAGGGTATAAGGTACTTGACTTGCACCATATACAGTCCCCCAGGAACCTCCAGGAATGATTCTTGAGTACAGAACCAGGAATAAGCCTGGTGTGGCCCCAAAACAACAACAACAAAAAAAAAAAATAAAATAAAATAAAAACAAAATGTTTTTGGAAAAAAAGGCCAATGTAATATTTGTCATGTATATATATATCAATTGGTGCAACATCTCACTACACTGTGATATGAAAAAATGTTTAACTTTTTCAAATCATCGCACAGTGGTAGGGCGTTTGCCTTGCACGCAGCCAACATGGCCGACCCGAGTTCGATTCCTCCGCCCCTCTCAGAGAGACCGGCAAGCTACCGAGAGTATCTCGCCCGCACGGCCCGCACGGCAGAGCCTGGCAAGCCTCCCCGTGATGTATTCAACATGCCAGACACAGTAACAACAAAGTCTCCAGTGGAGACGTTACTGGGCCCGCTCGAGCAAATCGATGAACAACGGGAGGGCCTTTACCTTTTACCTTTACCTTTTTTCAAATCACAATATCTTGTCATTCCCATTGAAAAATAAATCACATTTGCATCTACATAAAGAGTTTCCAAAAATCTATTCAGAAAAGACATTTGTACTCCTCTATTCATCACAGAACCATTCACAACAGTCAAATCTAGAAAAACCCAGTGACTGGATAAAGAAACTATAATTCAGATACATAATGGAATACTTCCCAACTATAAGAAAAATCAAGCAACTTGCTGTCTAGAGGTTGGATCTGAAGAGTGAAATTAATCAGGAGGAGGGGGACAGACACATAATGATCTCCCTGGTGTGTGGGATTATAAAGAGACATAATCAAGGTATAACAAATACCCAGAGGCAACAGAAACCAAGGACTGGTCTTCAATAGAGCTTACTACAGGGGAGGGATGGGGTATAGAGGGAGAAGAATACTAGAGCAAGTGAACACTCCGAGGGAGGATGTGTGAGGGACTGTGTTAGGCATGAGATTCAATCATTAATAGCACTGTGGGCTGGAGCGATAGCACAGTGGTAGGGCGTTTGCCTTGCACGCAGCCAACTTGGCCGACCCGAGTTCGATTTTTTCACCCCTCTCAGAGAGCCCGGCAAGTTACCGAGAGTATCTCGCCCGCATGGCAAAAAAGCTTGCCAAAGTCTGGCAAGCTCCCTGTGATGTATTCGATATGCCAAACACAGTAACAACAAAGTCTCATGAAGGAGACGTTACTGGGCCCGCTCGAGAAAATCGATGAACAACGGGAGGACGATTGTGATTGTTTGTGAATAGCACTTTAGATCATGGTGCCTGAAATAAAATTTTAATTTTTAAAAAAATTCCCATTTGAATATAATTTCTCGTAAAGACTATGAGATGTAATTACTTGTCCTAACTAATCCTTTATTTCCAGTAAAGCAGCTATTTCTATTTTTACTCCATAAGAAAAGTAAGGGAACAAGTGAAAGATCAATTCTGCCTTAATAAGGTATCAAGAAAAAAGGTAAATATCAGGCAACATGCACTCTGGGTTTCAGAGAAAGGCCTATAATAGAATAAGACATTGAATTAAAATAAGTTTAAAGTTTATTTAAACTACTATTGTTTTCCTCATCACAGCCAATTTATCCTGAAAATTTTACTCTTCTTTTATAGTTTATATGTAGCCATAAATGAAAGCAGAAAGTTTATAAATTACTAGTACACTGAACTGATGAGCAAAATGAAAAGCAGTCATGCCTTAAATATAGCAACTAATTCTTTGCAGTGCAGGAAAACTTAAGTCGCAAGAGCAAAAGTAAAAGTAAAGGGTGGCGTCATTTTGTATGTTTGAATATAAAACAAATTACAAAAAAAAAAATCCATGAAGTGCAATGCTATTTTCTCTATTCATACTTCTGTTCTAAAGTCAATTTTTCTTAACACACTATGTGTCAAACCATAATCAGACCATGTCAGTTTCCTATTGTTAATGTAGATTTAATGGACCAATATGATGATTACCAAGAAGCAGAACCCAGTTGATGGTAGTTAAACTTAACTCCTCTAAGAAACTATATAAATTAGGACTGGAGTGACAGTACAGTAGGTAGAGTGTTTGCCTTGCACATGGTCAACTCAGGTTCAATCCCTGGCATTCCATATGGTCTCCTGAGCATTGCCAGAAGTAATTCCTGAGTGCAAAACCAGGAGTAAGCCCTGAGCATCACCGGGTGTGGTTCTTCCCAAATCCCCCCTCCCCGCCAAAAAAAGGGGAAACTATATAAACTAGCTCCTCTAAGAAACTAGCTGTTCTTATAGATATGTCAGTATTTTGAACTGGAATTCCTCTGATTATAACATTCTACCAAATAAGATCCATAAAGATTTACCTGCAGCTACTATGATAACATCAGCCAACTGTGTGTGGATCTTCAGTTGTTCTCTGGGAGTGTATCTGTGAGCTATTGTCACAGTTGCATCACCTGGAATTTAAAAAAATGCCATTAATAATTATTGAAAGTTTTAAGCACCCCAATTCAATTTCTGTAAAACTATAAGGATTAGAAAGCTATTTTGAAATATTAAATCACTTTTGAGCAAAACCTAAAAAAGAAAAAGCTAGATGACCACAAGCATTGTGTCATCTAGCTTACACTGATCATAAACAAAATCAAATGAAGGGTTGAGGGGCCATTTGTCAGTAAGGCACTTGCCTTGGATGAGGTTAACCTAGGTTCTCCCCCTGGACTACATATGGTTCCTCAAGCCCTTCTAGGAGTGTTTCCTCAGCACAAAACCACGAGTAAGCTCTGTGCACAGCTGGTGTACCCAAAGCCCCCAACCCCAAATCAAAAAAACAAAACAGAATCAAATAAATCCAAATATGGTTAAGTATCATTCCAGCCGGAGTGATAGTACAGAGGGTAGGGCATTTGCCTTGCATGCAGCCAACATGGTCGACCCGAGTTCGATTCCTCCGCCCCTCTCAGAGAGCCTGGCAAGCTACTGAGAGTATCTCGCCCGCACGGCAAAGCCTGGCAAGCTACCCGTGACTTATTCAATATGCCAAACACAGTAACAACAAGTCTCACGATGGAGATGTTACTGGGCCCGCTCGAGCAAATCGATGAACAACGGGAAGACCGTGACCGTGACCGTGACCAATGGTTAAGTACTAACCATCATATAAGAAAATAAATAGGGTTCTAGAAATCCAGTATTTGAAAAAACTTTTTATTTACAGGTCAACATACAGGCACAGAGAATGACTTAATGGCTTACTAATAAAAGAAGCATAGATATTAGAGAGAAATATATAGAGAGCTATGCCTCTCGGTGAGCCCGGCAAGCTACCAAGACTATCCCGCCTGCACGGGCAGAGCCTGGCAAGATCCCTGTGGCATATTCGATATGCCAAATACAGTAACAACAACAGGTCTCATTCCCCTGACCCTGAAAGAGCCTCCAATCATTGGGAAAAGACGAGTAAGAAGAGGCTGCTAAAATCTCAGGACTGGAATAGAGACATTACTGGTGCCCACTCAAGTAAATCGATGATCAATGGGATGACAGTGATACAGTGATAGATATACTGGAAACAATAAGATAAACGCACATTGGGAGCACAGGTGAGCAGTCAATTCTCTATTAGGAAGGTATTAAGAAAGAGTTCCTAAAGAAAGCAGTTTGTCAGGCCTTAAAATATGAGTAGGGACATGCTAATTAGGGAAGGAATAAAAGGGCATTACGGACCAATAAAAATGCAGAAAAACATGAGGTAACTATGAAATATACTTTTGGGAAAAAAACAGGTTTGCAGTCAGAGAAAGCACTCACACATACTTCAGTGAGGTGACGTATGCATAAGAGAGGCTGGGAAGCTGGAAGATTAAAATGTAAGACAAGGGGCTGGAGACATAGTAGAGCAGGTACAGGGACTACTTTGATCCCCAGCACCCTACATGGTCTCCCAAGCCTTCCAGGGGCGATCCCTGAGCACTGCTTGATAAGGACCAAAAACAAACCATAAAAGATATATGTTAAGAAAGTAGATGTAAAAAAAAAAAAGTATACCCAGTCAGATCTGAATTCAAGATTAAAGGTCTAAAACAGGGGGCTGGAGCGATAGCAGAGCGGGTAGGGCATTTGCTTCGCATGCAGCCGACCCGGGTTCAATTCCCAGCATCCCATATGGTCCCGAGCATTGCTAGAAGTAATTCCTGAGTGCATGAGCCAGGAGTAACCTCTGTGCATTGCTGAGTGTGACCCAAAAAGCAAGAAAAAAAATAAAAATAAAGGTCTAAAACAATTTTGAGGAGGGGTGGGGACAAGTTGACCAGAAAAGAATTGTACTGTGAGTTCTCCATGGAATCAGTACAATGTAGGTCTAATACACACATAAAAACAAACTGGAACACAGCATCCCCTGACAAGTCTCACAAGGAAAATTCACTAGAGGAAAGGATTTCACCTCAGGGAGACTCAACTCAGTGGAATTTGGAATTTTGCAGACATTAGCAGACATTTGCAACTTTGCAGACATTCAGAGCAAAGGACAAGAGTTTCCCTGGGCAGGGCAGGGCTGAAGTAGAGATTCCAGGACTAAAGAAACCAGAAGTCCAGGACCTAACAGCAAACACCATCCTAAGGTAAGAGGGAGCTAAATGCTAAAGACTCACATAACATCCGTTTTAAACTCACGTTAGCTAAGAGAAAACGGATTCAGTTCTCAGCAGCACAATCCAGTTGGTTACTGCTCCCACCTCGAGCCCAGAGTGAGCTCTCCAGAGTGAGCCAAGCTCTACAGGGCCGTTCCTGAGCCAACAAGGACCCGCCGGCTCACTGCCAGAGAGATTCCTATCAAGCCACTAGCCATTGTCCAGAGCTCATTTCTGTACCGGATCTCGTGAGTTGCAGTCTCTGGACTCCCTAAGCACCACAAACGTTTGTACAACCACGTGTGGCTGGGCTGAGAACAGGTGTTCTGGAGCAGAGGGGAGCACAGTCAACTCAGCAGGGCCACCCGAGACCCACCCAGCTGCTCCTTCTGGACAGGCTCAGTCACAAGCCCACCTCAACAGCCTCCCTATCTCACTGTCTCAGTTCTACCCTTCAAGTTCCAGCTGTCACACCAGGCAGCACGGAATCCAGGGAAGTCCCAAAAACACAGGTACATCTGAGCCATCCTCTAAATCAGTGGATGCTGAGTGCAAAAGGTCCATTATTCTCCTTAGATGTTTCCCTAAAATGGGTAAGTCAAGAGGGCACTCCTCGGAGGTGTTTTCTGTTTGCGAAAAGATGAAGATTTCCAGGAGGAATGGTGAGTGATTTTTTTCCTGAAAAGGAGGCAAGGAGACCAAGTAAATCTGGGGCTGCCTGCCTTAGACCAACAGGCAAAATGACAGGCAAAATGACTTTTTCAGATCACTTCCTAGTTTCCTTTCTCTCCCTCCCCCTAGTAAGTGCAGTCTCCTCAGAGACACATGCTGTAGATGGGTCCCTCCACCTTCTGTACAGTATGGGGCGGGATGGGGGTGGGGGGGACAGACGCTCACCCTCCACCATCTCACTGGCTGAAGAGCAACAGCCACTGCCTTCTCTGCCATCACTGCCCCGGATGCTCCGGGTCCCACCGATTCTGCCCTCAGTCACCCCCTCTGGAAGCCAATTCACCCATTTTCAGGTGTCCAGATGGAAAAAGCTTGAGCGGGTCCTTATATGCTGTGCAGAGGCACCTAATGTTCTTTTTTTTCGATAGCACAGTGGGTAGGGCGTTCGCCTTACAAGCGGCCAACATGGCCGACCCGAGTTCGATTCCTCCGCCCCTCTCGGAGAGCCTGGCAAGCTACCAAGAGTATTCGATATGCCAGACACAGTAACAACAAAGTCTCCAATGGAGACGTTACTGGGCCCGCTCGAGCAAATCGACGATCAACGGGAGGACCTTTACCTTTACATATATTTTTATATATTTTATTTTCACAATAGTTCATTGCAGATACTATTCAAACACCAATCCCACCACCGAGCACCTTCCCAACCACAATGAGAGGGAAGTGTATGAAGGCTGTTGTTTTCCATTCTGGAGCCATTTAAGCCCATACATAAGAGAATACAAGCAAGTATGTTAAAATCAAACAAATGTGTGCTACTTTTGGTACGTAAGTGGGCTAGAGTATAAGAAGGAAATTCTGCGTCACTCTCTTCTGGGAGCTTTGGTTTATAGTCTCTGGGTCTTGACAGTTGATGAGATTACATGGCGCTGGGGGCAATTTGTGGGTGTGACTGTCAAGCTACTGGAAAACTCGGGAGCTGGGGGAAAGCAGTCCAGTCCCGATCTGAGTGGGCATGGGTATCTCAGCCCCAGGTCCTGCATACCTGGGTTTTTCTGCCAGTTCCCACTTGGGTTAGGGTCATCCAAGCGTGTGGAGAGTGGCCTTGAGCATGGTGGTGGTTGGATTCTGGAGGTTTTCAGCTCCCGGGGTTCTGTTTGGGGCAGTGAGGGAAACTAATCCTGCCCAGTGAAGCACCTAAAGTCTTTTAATGGTGATGCACGTCCAATTTGTTGTAAAGCAAGGGGGAGAGGAAAAGCGGAAGGCTCAACCAGCCACAATACTGATACCAATCCTAGAGGAAATCGATTCTTGATGTGAGCAGGAATTCGTTTTGTGTCTGTTCTAATCTTCTTTAGCCATACCTTTTCTACCCTTTCTCACTAATAAAAGATGTTCCACAGAATAAGGAAAGAGTCTATTATCGGACCAACTGTTAAAAGCATCTTCCTTTTTAAGAGCTGAAGTTTAGGTTTTTTGCATCTCTTACTGTGATTTTAAGTCTAGTTTTGACACAGCTCAGAACTAGTCACAACTTCCTTTTCTATGAAGCAAGCACCTGTTTGTACCTGTATCAACAGATGAAGCAACATGGCAAACCCCATAGGACTCACTCAGGCTTTTACTCTGTCCGAATAAGGAAGGATGGGTCCTTTCCAATACATTAGTTCAAGCCATGGCTTAAAGGTGAAAGCACTGAAGTAATTGCAGGGAGGAAAACTAAGTTAACTCATTAACCCGATGGAAAAACAGAAGCTTAAGCTCTATTTTAAGACAAATATCTGGGGCTGGAGCTGTAGCACAGCAGGTAGGGCATTTGTCTTGCATGTGGCACACCCAGGTTCTATTCCCAGCATCCCATATGGTCCTCTGAGCACCGCCAGGAGTAATTCCTGAGTGCATGAGCCAGGAGAAACCCCCGTGCATAACCAGGTGTGACCCCAAAAGCAAATAAAATAAAATAAAATAAGACAAATGTCTGCAGAGGTCTAAAGAGTTTAGATTTAAACATGCCATTTCTTTTCTCACTTCCAAAGCAGATATTTCATCTTTCAGCAAAAACAAACCAAGAAGTCTTTCTACAGAAAAATTATCAGTAGAAGCTAAATAGGCACAGCCAAATTGTATGTGAATAAAATAATTAGCCCATT